CCCTGGAGATGAAACCATCAAACCCACCAACCCAAACCCCTGGAGATGAAACCATCAAACCCACCAACCCAAACCCCTGGCGATGCTCCATTTCAAACCGCTGTGGTCGAAAGGGAACCAAAGGCATGGCAGACCTTGAGCTGCCCTTCAGGCAGACCCTCAGGCCACGGGTTTTTCCACCCCGTGGAGCTGTTTGTGGTGCCTCCAGAGCCCCGTTACCTTCACAGGTGTCCGTCTCTGTCCTGAAGACGAAGCCCTTGGGGCAGGTGCAGGTGTAGCTGCCGGGGGTGTTCCTGCACAGCCCGTTGTCGCACAGCAGACGGTTGACAGTGCACTCATCAACATCTGGGGACAGGGAGAGAAGGGCTTCCTGAGCCACAGCACCGACCCCACAGAGCCCGGGAGGAGCAGAAGTTCAGCTCCACCCTCACAGTGAGACAACCTGGGATGTTCAATCACATCCGTGCAGGTTCTCATGGGCACCTTTGTGGTTTTCCGTGTGGGTGAGTGTCCTAGAACAGCTGGGACCAGTTCATCACTGCATGGGTGTAACCCAAAACTGTGCATTCTACAGCCTTCCATGCCATTGCCCAGAAACTGTTACCAACAGACCATTTACACCCTCTGCCCAGGGCAGCCCTGACTCCTCAGGCTGTAAACTGGGTGTTCAGAGGTCTGGGAGATAGGAGGGTGTTCCTGTCCTCACACCCAGTGTGGAACTCCCACCCCTGAGGGAGGCACTGGGCACTCCTGCCTGAACTGGAGGATAGATAACCTTGGAGTCTGGGGACTTTTTTAACCACTGGTGGGATCCAGAGGAGGGCTGGGACCACCACTCTCAACCAGACTGAGATCACCACTTTTCAACCAGACTGCAGATCACCACTTTTCAACCAGACTGAGACCACCACCCTCGACCAGACTGCAACCACCACTCTTGACCAAACTGCACCAGCACCCTCACCAACAGGTTTTTCCCCCTCTCCTTTTACTTTGGCCTCAGGGGGCCCAACGAACACCACTCTGTTCATGCCCCAGGGTGCTGGGTTATACATTTGGGTTTTGTGGGTTAAAACCAACTGTTTGTCTGTATAATCCTACTTATTGTATTATTTTATGAAATTGTTATTCTGACTTATGATCTCTCCTTTGAGTTGAGTTCATTTCCCCTGCTGGTTTACCTTTAAGCCAGCACAGTGAGGCAGCACTGAGCAGGGACAGGGCTTGGGGGCATCACCTGGAGGTTCTGGCTCCTGCCAACCCTCTGCCCACCCCGTGCCCTGGACTCACCCACGCAGTTCTTGCCCGTGGGGTCGGACTCGTAGCCCAGGTTGCAGATGCAGCGGTAGCTACCCCGCAGGTTCTCACACATCCCGTTGGGGCAGATGTCCGGGTTCAGGGCACACTCGTTGATGTCTGGCAGAGAGAAAAGTCAAATGAGATGGACCACAGCGAAGGGAGACACCGGAACATTCCATCTCCCCAGCCCTCATCGTTCCTTGGTGTCCACCCACAGCCAGAAGCACAATCCCAGACTGGTCTGGGTGGGAAGGGACCTTAAAGCCCATCCAGTCCCACCCCCTGCCATGGGCAAGGACACCTCCCACTAGCCCAGGTTGCTCCAAGCCCTGTCCAGCCTGGCTTTGAACACATCCAAGCAGGGGCATCCACCACTTCTCCCTGTCCTGCCTCCTTTCCTGGTTTGGGGGAACCTTGCTCCTCTCCCTCTGGAGCTGTGGAGCTGGGAATACACAGCTGACCTGGCACAGGGCTCTGAGCTCAGGAGGAGCTGGATAAGGGGATGGGATAAGCCCAGTCCCACGAGGGCTCTCAGCTCCTTCTGTCACATTCCTGAGTCTTCCAACAGCACCTTTATCCCAGTGCTCAGCTCTGGGATTAATTATCCCTGCATTCAGCACCCAGTGCCCCAGAGGGGTGGCAGCCAGGTGGGCAGCACCTCTTCCTCTGCAGCAGCATCACCTCCCTGCTTGTTTTGGAGTCTGGGCAAAGAGGTTTCACCCTGGCAAGGACCAGCCCAGGGCAGGCCCAGCAGTGCCCTGGTAGTGCCACGGTGCCAGATGGCCACAGGCCCAGGCCAGGCCTTCCCAGACACTGCTGGCCTTTGTCTCCAGGCAGTTGGAATTCAGTTTTCCATCCAGGGAAAAGCAGCCCTGGAGAGCTCAGAGTGTGCCTGTGGGCAGGGCTGGGCTGACCAGGGTTTGTCTGGCATATGGTACATATATATATATATATTTTCAGACTATTTTATGCTGTATTGATTTTAATATGTTAAAGGTGGATGAAGACCAAGAGATTCTGGTCAAATGCATATTTACACCTAGAGATCATTAGTTCCATACTCTCACATCTGAAGAATCAAAGGGAGATTTCTCACTTAGGAAGTATAACCCATCAAACTGATTAAATATTAGTATCAAAGTCTGCCAAAGTGACTGATACAATCAGTGAAGATTGTATCTTGTTTCAGTAAATGTGACCTGTTGAGCTCTCTGGGCTTCATTTACTTGCCTGCACAAAGACAACGACTTACATCTGATATTTCATTAAATATCCAGGACATTTTCATGGATCTGGTTAATTTGGCCATTTGTGTTTCTGGAATGGAGAAGTCTGGGCTGGGATACTGAAATATGACACAATTCCTTGCTAGAAAGAGCCTTATCATTACCCTGAGCCTGACTCTGGCCAGGACATGGTGCCCTGGCTGGAAGCCCAAGAAGTCACCAGGGTTTTGCCTCTGGCTCATTCCCATTTGGAAGGTTTTGAGAGCTTGTTATCTGGTTGCTTTGTTCTCTCCCTGCTGGTCCAAGCACTGCCCAGGGCTGGCACTGTGACTCAAAGCAGCCCCCTGGCAACACTCCACACACACACTTATCACCTCCCTCTCCCTGGGAGACTCGGGACCCTCCTCTCCCACCCCGGAGGAGCCAGAGGGAAACAACCAAGAGGATGGAGTTGGTCACGCTCAGTCATTGCCATCAAAGCAGGGAGCAAAGCCAAACTCCATGGGAGCATCCCCAGAAACGCAGATCCCACAGGGGTGCCAGGAATCCAGCACTCAATCCTCAGGGATAGTTACTCAACACCAGCTTGTGGTGGTTTGGGGAGGGGGAAAAAAAATCCCACAGTGCCCGTTTCTCCCCCACCACCCCCCGTGCTCAACTCACATCCCACCCACTGGCACGGAGAGAGGTTCTTGCAGGCATTAAAACCCATCCAGGCTCTGAAAGCCCCCCCTGTGCCCCCTCATGCTCAGCTCTCACACATACACGGGCTGTGCCAACCCCCCAGCACAGCCAGCAGTGCCAAGGCTCTCCTGGCACAGCCTCCCGGTGCCACATCACTCCTGGTGCCACTGAAAACCCTGGAGATGAAACCATCAAACCCACAAACCCAAAACCCTGGAGATGAAACCATCAAACCCACAAAACCTGGAGATGAAATGACCAAACCCACAAACCCAAAAACCTGGAGATGAAACCACCAAACCCAAAACCCCAAAAGCTGGAGATGAAACAACCAAAACCACCAACCCAAAATCCTGGAGATGAAACTATCAAACCCACCAACCCAAAACCCTGGACATGAAACCACCAAACCCACAAATCCAAAATCCTGGAGATGAAACAACCAAACCCTCAGACCCAAAACCCTGGAGATGAAACCACCAAACCCACAAATGCAAAAGCTGGAGATGAAACCATCAAACCCACCAACCCAAAATCCTGGAGATGAAACGACCAAACCCACAAACCCAAAACCCTGGAGATGACATGACCAAACCCAAAAGGAGGGTGTGACCAAACCCTGAGGGTGACAGGAGATGAGTCCAGGGCTTGGGCTGCACAAACCTCTGCCATCAGCTGTTATCCCGATGCCGCTGCTGCAGAGAGCCTGGAATTCCGCTGTGGAGAAAGGACAGCAGAGCCGTGAGCTTTGCTGGGCACTGCACCCAGTGCCAGTAACTCTGGATTTATTGTTTGTTTGTCTGTTGGAATGTCAGCTCCAGGCTTCCCAGCAGGGTCTGTTTGTGCTTACACAACAGAGATTTTAAAGCTGACACTCCCAGCTGGAGTCCGACATTCCTGCCATGAGATCAGCACCAGATTTGGGGACCCAGCCTTCGTTTGTTGGCTGCCTGGCACCCCTTTCCCCCTGCCTGTGGCTTTCTCATGTCGCTGCCAAGCTGCCAAAGCCATCAGGAGGGCTCTGAGCACCTTCCTGGGGTTTTACACAGTCAGAGTCACAGAATGTGCTGAGTTGGAAGGGACCCCCAAGGATCATCCAGATCCCTGCACAGACCCATCCCCATGTGCCTGAGAGGATCACCCAAATGCTCCTGGAGCTCTGGCAGCCTTGGTGCTGTGCCCACTGCCCTGGGGAACCTGGTCAGTGCCCAACCACCCTCTGGGGGAAGAACCTTTTCCTGAGATCCCACCTGAACCTCTCCTGACACAGCTCCAGGCCATTCCTGGGGTCCTGTCCCTGCTGACAGAGAGCAGAGCTCAGGGCCTGCCCCTCCCAAGGAAGTTGTAACTGCAGTGAGGTCTCCCCTCAGTCTCCTCTTCCTGTCTCTTGTTCCCTGGAACCAGAGCCCAACCCTTCCCTGCTCCCCCCTCCTGTCAGGGAGTTGGAGAGAGTGACCCACAGAACCACCTGAGTTGGAAGGGACCCACAAGGGTCACCCAATCCAACTCTCAGCCCTGCACAGAACCATCCCAAAGAGTCACCCCATGTGCCCAAGAACATCACCCAAATGCTCCTGGAGCTCTGGCAGCCTTGGAGCTGTGCCCACTGCCCTGGGGAGCCTGGTCAGTGCCCAACCACCCTCTGGGGGAAGAACCTTTCCCTGATTCCAGGTTATACTGTGGATATAATTACGCCCTGGGCACTTGGGTGTCATTTTGTGGCTGTTGAAACTGAGGTTTCACTTGGTTCCTCCAGTCAAAGTTGCAGCCTGGATTAACCTGGATTGCTAATTAATCATTGTAGAATCATGGAACAGCCTGAGGTGGAAGGGACCCACAAGGATCATCCAGTCCAATTCCTGGCCCTGCACAGACACCCCAACAATCCCACCTTGTCCCTCAGAGCGTTGTCCAAACCCTCCTGGAGCTCTGGCAGCCTTGAGGCCGTGCCCACTGCCCTGGGGAGCCTGTTCAGTGCCCAACCACCCTCCAGAGGGTGGAGGAGAAAGAAGAACCGGAGCTCACCCGAGTTCTTGGCCGGGCAGGGCTGGCAGGGCTCTCCGAAGCCGTGGTCCGGGTTGGCACAGCAACACTCGGACTTGGTGACGGCGCCGGGGAAGGGGCGGGCGCAGGTGCCCTTTTTGATGCCCCCGTAGCAGGTGCTGCGCATGTGGGTGTCCACGCAGACCCGGCCGTCCACGCCGATGGCCAGGCCCCCCAGGCACTCGCAGCGGAAGGAGCCCTCGGTGTTGATGCACCAGCCGTTCATGCAGATCCCGGGGGTCTCGCACTCGTCGATGTCTGAGGGAGGGAGGGGACACCGGCGGGGGGGGTCAGCTGCCCACGGGCACGGGGATGCGTGGGGAGGGGTGAGGGACACGGGGAGAGGGTGAAGGATGTGTAGAGAGGGGTGAGGGACATGTGGAGGGGGTGAAGGACATGTGGAGAGGGGTGAAGGGCACACAGAGGGGCAGAAGGACACATGGAGAGGGGTGAGGGATGCACGGAAAGGGGTAAAGGACACACAGAAAGGGGTGAAGGACACATGGAGAGGGCAGAAAAACACATAGATGGGGTGAAGGACACATGGAGAGGGGTGAAGGACACGTGGAGAGGGGTAAAGGATGTGAAGAGGGATGAGGGACACATGGAGGGGTGAAGGACACATGGAGAGGGGTGAAGGACAAACAGAGAGGGGTGAAGGACATGTGGAGGGGCAGAAGGCCACACAGACAGGGGCTCAGGACACACGGAGAGGAACTCAGGACTATTTTGCAGAGAGCCCTTGCAGACCAAGAGGGTCTACAGGGCTCTGCTGCCTGTCCCCACTGGTTCAGGGGAAGGAACAGGGATCTGGGCTTCTCCAAACTCCTGAGATCCAAGCCCTTCTCAGAGCAGCAGGGTCTGGTCTCTGCTCTGCTGATGGGGCACTGACCCAGAGAATTCACCCCCTGTCACAGCAGCTCATCAAAGAAAAGGTCTCCTCCTCCTCTCTCCACTCTGCCTCCACATCCCAACCTTCCTGGCTTTGGGAGGCAGCACACAGACTGCAGTGGGACGTGCTGGAGAGGCTGGGAGCTCTGGGACAAGTGCTGCCAGCTCACATTGGCCACCCAGAGTTCCCTCAGAGAGAGGATTCCAGTTCCAGTTTGTGCTGGAGTGAAGCAGCAGAGGCCATTTTCCCTTGTGCCTGTTCTGCTGGGAAGGGGCGATTTCTGGTGGCAGAGCAGGAGCTGCCACGCAACAGCCTTGGTTGTTCTCAGCTCCCCGTGCTCTGAGACACACCACAAACCCCAGGGAATGGGAATGGGCAGGGAACAAGTTCGGGGACCCACACACCGACACAGTAGCGCCCGTTGGGAGCCAGAACAAATCCGGGCTTGCAGATGCACTTGAAGCTTCCGTCCTCATTGATGCACATCCCGTTGAGGCACATGTTGGTGGTGGCACACTCGTCGTGGTCTGGGGAGGACAAACACCTGGGCTGAGCCTGAGAGCAGCAGTAAGACCCTCCTGTGCTCAAAAACCCTCCGAGTCCCATCTCAAACTCTTGTGGCAGTGGGTGCTAAGCCTCAAGGAAGAGGGATGGTTCGGGATGGAAGGGAGCTTAAAGAGCATCTACTCCAACCCCCTGCCATGGGCAGGGGCACCTTCCCACTGCTTCTCCTGGTGAGAAGAAGGAGAAGTCCTGCTGGGAACTTTCTTTCCCACCTTTGCTGGTGGGAAGAAGAAGTCCTGCTGCACTCTCAGAACTCTCAGCCAGTGAAAGACTCAGACACCAGCTGCTGGAGCACGTCCTGCCTCCAAACCCAGCCCTGCTGATGCTCCTGGACCCCAAAACCCACAGGAGCACTCACAGCCTTATAAAAACCCCTTCCCACTTGAGCCCTCTCATTTTAAGACATCCTAGAGCTGAAGGGAGCGCAGGGGTAGGAACAGGATTTAAGGGATTTAAGGAGATCTGATGGAACCAACCCTCAACCCCGAGGGAGAACATAATCCCAGCTCGGTCCCAACCTCCCCAGGGGCCACCAGGAGCCTCACCAACACAGTTCTTGCCATCAGGGGTGATCTCAAAGCCAGCGTTGCAGATGCACTGGAAGCTGCCGTCGGTGTTGACGCAGCGGCCGTTCCTGCACATCACCCCGTTCATGATGCACTCATCGATGTCTGCCAGGAGAGGGACACAGCAAGGTAGGAGCAGCTTAATAATCTCCAGTTTAATAATAATCTCCAGTTTAATAATCTCCATGAGAAAACCAGCCAAGTGCTCTCAGACTCCAGAAGAATTCGCCTCAAAAACATCTAGTTGGGAAATTCGGAAAGCTTTTCAGGCTGCAAACTGAGGGGTCCTTTGGAAACCATTTAGTTGGAAAGAGAGGAAAAATTAAGAATTCCACAGGGAAATCTGATTTTGCTTCTTGTTTCACGTGGTGGAATGTTTCCTTTCCACCATTCTCTTTTAGCAGTCCCTCATCTTTGTGCTGCAAGGCCCTGAGAGAACAACCTTGCTGGGTGTCCTACACCGATACAGATTTGCCTCAAAAATCCCATCTTCTGCCAAATAAAATCCCTTAAACAGAGTTCTGCTCTTGGAAAGGACTCTGTGGCTTCCTTGGTTGCCACCCACCAATTTTAAGGCAGATTAAGGCAGAGGGAACTTCTCCAAGACAGATCCCACCACACACACGTGGCTGGAGGTTGGTTGGCGTTTGGGGACTCCTCACTTTGTTTCCCCTTTAGAACCATTCCTCTTGGGTTCCCAGGGCTCTGACACCCCTGGAGCTCATCAAAAGGAGAGGGACAACCCTTACCAATGCAGGCCTGCTTGGTGGGGGTGCTCTGGAAGCCCTCGTGGCACTTGCAGTGGTAGGAGCCCGGGGTGTTGACGCAGTCGCCGTGCACGCAGGGGCTGCTGGAGCACTCGTCCACATCTGCCAGGGGAAAACACCAAACCCTGAGCGTCCAGGAGACACAACCAGCTCCCAGGACTGGCACAAGAAGGGCTGGGGAGGTGCTGAGCCCCTTGTGCTGACAGCAAGGTCCCTCAGGTGGCACCACCCCAACAAGGATCCCCCTCAACGTGGTGTCACCTGCACGAGGACACTCAATCCCAGTCTGTGTCACAGAGGAAGGTGTTTAACAGTGCTGGTCCCAGTGTGGACCACTGGGGACACCACCACTCGTTCCTGGTTTCCACTTGAACTGGGATAATTTGGACACAACCCTCCAGACAATTCCTTGTCCACCCAACCCACACCACTCCAACTCAGAGCTAAGGATGGTGGAGGGAATGATCTCGAAGGCCTTGCAGAAGTAGATGACATCTGTAACTCTCCTCTTTTTCACTGATGAAGCCACACCATGATCAAAGGTCACCAGGTCAATGCCTTTGAAAATCTCTGTGGGTGTGTCTTGATAAAAACATCAACTTTCCCTTTCCTTTGTCACTGAAGCTCCGTTTTCATAAAGACAGAGAAAATTTTCCATCCTCCCACCTGACATGATCCCTCTACCCTCTGTCTCCAGCCTCTTGTGGGAAGCTCTGATGGGATCACAGAACAACAGAACATGCTGAGTTGGAAGGGACCCCCAAGGATCCTCCAGTCAAACCCTCAGCCCTGCACAGAACCATCCCCAAGGGTCCCTGAGAGCATCATCCAAACCCTCCTGGAGCTCTGGCAGCCTTGGTGCTGTGCCCACTGCCCTGGGGAGCCTGGGCAGTGCCAATCACCCTCTGGGGAGGAACAACCTTTCCCTGAGATCCACCCCAATTCTCCCTGGTGTTGGGGCAGCAGCTGGAGGTGCTTTAGGAACAGGTCCAGGGCCCGTCTGGAGCAGAGGCCACTCACCAATGCACTCCCCACGCACGTCCTGCTTGTAGCCCATGTTGCACTCGCAGCGGTAGCTGGACGGGGTGGGGATGCAGCGCCCGTTCAGGCACAGGTTGGTGAAGTGCTTGCAGATGTCAATGGTCTGGTTCAACGTGGCAGTGCCTGGGAAGCACAGAAACAGCATCAGGGAGAAGGTTCCAGAACCCCCCCGGTTGTCCCCAGGGCTCAGGGTGGGGACATCGGAACCGCAACAGCCCCGAGATGCTCCTGGGCCCTGAGCAGGACCCCCACACCCAGAAGGGTCTACAAGGGTCTGCTGTGCCCCCACCCCACTGTTCTGAGCTGGAAGGGACCCACAAAGACCATCAAGTCCAGCTCTGAAGTGAATGGCCCACACAGAGATCAAAGCCACCAGCCTGGTGTTATCAGCACCCTGCTGGGACCAGCTGAGCTCATCCCAGGGCCAAAGGCCTTGGAAAATCTCTGGGATGTGTCTTGATCAAAAAACACCACCAGGCACGAGGGGGCTCAGCCTTGACAAAAACACCACCAGGCACGAGGGGAGCTCAACCCTGACAAAAAACACCACCAGGTACAAGGGGGCTCAGCCTCTCTGAGATAAGGTGAGAATCCATTCCATTCCCTCTGAAATCAGATGGGAATCAATCCCAGCCCCTCTGAAATCAGATGGGAATCAATCCCAGCCCCTCTGAAATCAGATGGGAATCAATTCCAATCCCCTCCGAAACAAGGTGGGGATCAATCTTTGGGGCCACCCAGCACATCCCCACAGGCTTCAGCCCTCAGCAAGGAGCTGCATCGGGGTGCACATCACAGGGGGGTCCAAGCTGGTGGGGGAACAGCTTTGTTTTGGGGAGGCAGAGGGTGAGGTGGTGACGTGAGAGCTTTGTTCCCGTTCGGTAATTGTTTGAAAGGCTTCGTTCCTGTTGGGTGATTGGAGAGAGATTCCAGACTGGAGCCGACCCCGGCTGTGTTTTCGTGCCAGCAGACACTGTTTGATGTGTTTGTGGGCTCAGTGTCCTGCACAGTGTTCCTGTCACATCCCACCACTCCCCCCTTTAGGGTCGGGACACACCGTGGAGCTGTCGAAGAACGCGGGTGTGCCGGGAGCAGCATTCCAGCATTCCAGCACGAAGGAACACGCTCCGCTCCCAGCCAGGCAGCCTAAAGAGGGGTCAGCACGAGGAGAAAGGAGTTTAATTACCAATGCTCGAGCTTCCTGGGCCCATTCCAGGCAGCCCTGGGATCCCGCCTTGTCCGTTCGCCCCGTTTGGTCCGATGCCTCCGGGCCCGTTGAGTCCCGGCCCGACGCCGTTGGGCCCGAATCCAGGGATTCCTGGAAAGTTCCCAGGGAAGCCTGGCACGACCGGGAGTCCCTCGATGCAGAGCCTGCGGTACTCGTCTGAAACAAAACAGCTGCCTCAGGGCTGCTCCTGAGGTGCCCGAATCCCGGGATGGGGACGGATCAGCAGGGAGCTGAGCAGGTGGGTGCTGGTGGGAACAGGGCACACGGGGTGGGGAGGGCTTGAACACCCTTCACCCCACAGCAGGTGAGGACACACAGCTCGCCAGGGTGTCTGGCAGCAGGTTTTTGGGGCGTGTGGCACAGTTGGCACCGCGGGCTCCCTTCCCGCCGGGAAGGATGGGACACACAGGAGGTGCCAGGCACTGAATTGCTCTGCCCTGCTCGGAGTTAGGGGTGAAAAAAGAGATGCAGAGTGATGTATCTACATCTCTGGGCCTTCTCCAGATGCAGAGAGATGGATCTACACCTCTGGGACTCCTCCAGGCCTCCTGCTGCCTGGGCTCGTCCCAAGGTTCAGTTATGGTGGGAGCCAAGGAGAGCTGAAGGAGTGGGAGGAAAGGGATGAATTCCTGCCTTGGCTCAGCTCATCTGGCTCAGCTTCAGCTGAGACCCAGGCAGGGAAACCAGCATCCCCAGGTGACCTTCCCTGGGTGTTCCATGGATGGGGGGTGGGATTTTCTCCCAGGTTACAAGCGATGGGACGAGAGGAAACGGCCTCAAGCTGTGCCAGGGGAGGTTTAGGTTGGAGATCAGGGGGAATTTCTTCATGGAAAGGGTGGGCAGGCATTGGCACAGGCTGCCCAGGGCAGTGGTGGAGTCCCCAGTTCCTGGAGGGATTTAACAGATGTGTGGAGGTGACACTTGAGGACAGGGGTTAGTGGTGGCCTTGGCAGTGCTGGGGGATGGTTGGACCTGATAATCCTGGGGGGCTTTTCCAATCACAGAAAATGCTGAGTTGGAAGGGACTACAAGGATCATCCAGTCCAACCCCTGGCCCTGCCCAGGACACACCAACATTCCCCCCCTGTCCCTCAGAGCGTTGTCTAAGAGTTCTGGACATGTTCCCCAGGGTTTTCCTTCGTTCTTCTCCACCCCCTGCCTCTCTTTATTTGAGGAGTTGGGCCTTAATTTGTCCCCTACAAACACAGAAACACCCATAGCAACAATGCAGCAGGATTTCTGTAGAATCCTGGAATATCCTGAGTGGGAAGGGACCCCCAGGGATCATCAGGACACCCAAACAATCCCTCAGAGGATCATCCAAACCCTCCTGGAGCTCTGGCAGCCTTGGGAAATAACCATTCCATGGGAAGCCTGGTCAGTACCCACCACCCTCTGGGGAGGAAGAAACAATAATAATGGATATTACTCTTCCATAACCCCCCACCCAACCCTCCTCCTTGATTCCAGGATTCCCCACATCACGCCGGTGGCTCCGCTGGGGTTGGCACAGGCAGGAGCTGCCCGGGCAGCGGCAGAGCTGTGGTGTGGCACTCACCAGAGCCCCTCACAGGGCACATCTCGGGGGTCTGGCCAATGGCCCAGCAGCGCCCTGAGTCGCAGCAGCACTGCATCCTGGTGTACTGGCCCGGCAGGTCCCCGGCGCAGCGGCCCCCGATGAGCGCCGAGAAACACGTCCCGATGCGCTGGTCTGAGGAGAGGGGGAGACACCATCACAATGTGCCAGCACAGCACCCTGCTGGCCTCCTGAGGGCTCATTCCCAACGGCATCTCTTCTGGCTGCCCCGTATCCCAACCCAGCCCCTCGTTCTAGCATCGTCCCCCCGCGTCGTGAGGTTCTCCAGCACCTCCCTCTGAAGCACATCAGTGCTTTAGGTAAGGCCAGGACTCATTCCCAGGATTAAATCTCATCCTCCCAGTCTCAGTCCCATTCTCCCAGACAGCCCCAGCCTCCCATTTAGGCTCTGAAAAACAGCCAGACCAAGAGCCAGGCACAGGCAGCACGTGGGCAATCCCTCCTTGCCCTGCAGGAAGGACGAGCTGACCCAGCTGATTCTGGGTGCATTTACAGAGCAGAAAACAGGTGAGATCCTCCATCTTATCCCAGGCTTCCTCACCTTCCCCCAAAAATCTGGATTATTTCCAGGTGTCTCCCTTCTCCCTCTCTAGAGAGTTTCTGGACTGATAAGAGGTGCCAGGGGCAGGTTCCCTCACTGAGCCCACCCCAGCTGGGAGAGGGGAGGTGGAACCTTGACTCTTCCCCTGCTGGACAGATGAACTATTCTGGGCTAAATTCAACAATTTGCATCCTAGGGCTGAGATGTCCATTCCTCAGGTTCCTCCTCTGCTGCTTGTGTCTGCCTTGCTCATTTATATTCCATTTGTGACCAAGGTTTGGCCATTGGCCACTGTAACACCACAACAGGCCCTGAATTTAGCCACAGGAGGAGCAGCATCTTCCCCTCTCTCGGGCTGTGGGACCCAGAGAGATGTATTTTCCCCTGACTCCTGCCACCAAAACCATTTCTCTGCCATAAAAACAACCCAGCACTGCCTCCTGCTCCTATTTCAGGGGTTCCCAGACAGCGAGAGGACACTCCCCAGCCATTCCTGCTCCATTCCTGAAGCCTTGGCTGCACAGTCCTGCTCCTGGTTTTCCCTGGGAACTGCCAGACCAAGGTGGTTGGACATTTCCCACCCCACTCTGAGGCTGAGGGACCAGGTCCAACCCTCCCAGTGACCCTCAGCGCTGCCACCACCATCCAGTGCATCCTGCAAACCTCAGGTCCAAGCAAGGACCTTCCCAGAACTGTCCCACATCCCAGGTTTCCCGTGGGGAAGCTTTCCCTGCCAGCACCCAGTGGTCCCAGCATCTCCTGGGACTGGAGCTGTTCCCAATCCCACATCCCTCCGGCCCAGCCTGTTCCTGTTTCAGGCCAGGGGCTGATTCCCACAGGCTGGACTGAGCTGGGAGGAGAAGGAGCCCTGGATGGTGGTCAAAGCCACAGACACCGAGCCTGGCACCGGGGTGGGGTGTGTGTGGCTTCTGGACCAGGCCCAGCAGACTGAGGGTCTTTCACACGTCTGGCAGGCTCCACCTGGCACCAAGCGCTCCAGGAAAAACCTGGAACCTTCCACTCCCTCATCTCCAGGAGATTAATGAGGGGGGAAGTCTCCTCTGCTGTGTCAGCTGTGGCTCTGGGCTGACATCAGCCTGGGCTCTAATGGAGATGAATTGCCTGGAGCTGTCGGATCCGTGGGGCTGTGGTTCCATCCCAGAGCCCTGCAGAGGACACTGACCCCACTGAAAGCCAGGGGGACTAAAATAGCAGCTCTTTCCTCAGGCACAGCCCTCCCACCCCTCAGCAGGAACTGATCCCTCCCTGGAAACTTTATCCACCAAAGCCACACCTGGAGGAGGGAAATTTGAGAAAGGGGGTTGATGCAACACTGGATTGGCTCCTAATCCTAAAGATGGGAAGTACAAGCCACCTGGGTCATCCCAAAGCCTTGATCTCTGGTGAAGCAAGAGCACTGCCCACGTCTCTGCAGGTTCCAGCAGGTGCTGGAGGGTGGCAGGGCTGTGTTTCCACACAGGGAGCAGGTTGGGATTACTTGGTTTTGGGAATTTCCAGTAATCCAGCAGAAGTGGAGGGACAGGACAAGGGGGGAATGGCTTCCCACTGCCAGAGGGCAGAGTTAGGTGGGATATTTGGGAGAAATTCTTCCCTGGCAGGGTGGGGAGGGGCTGGGATGGAATTCCCAGAAAAGCTGTGGCTACCCCATCCCTGGAAAGTGTCCAAGGCCAGGTTGGAGCAACCTGGGCTAGTGAAAGCCCAGGGGATAGGACTGATTGTGCTTTAAGGTCCCTTTCACCCCAAATCATTCCATGATTCTCTGTAGCCCCCTCTGGCTCCCAAAAGCAGCTCCTCTCTGACCAACCCAGGGCAGGATTTTGGGACCATTTGGAAAAGCCACCCCTCTGATGGGAGTTATCCTTGTGAGAGCTCAGGGCTGAGCTTAAACGAACTCCTAGATCCGAGGGGGGTAGTTTGGAATAAACAAACCCTTCGGGGCATCAGAGACCCCCACCCAGCTCCTCCCGTCCCTGCTGGATGTCCCCAAGGCTGGCAGGCAGGGTGACAGCCAGGCTGTGAACAGGGAAGGGTTGGAGAGCTCAGGCTCCTTCCCCACGGCCAGACAAAGTGCTGACAAGTGTGACAAGGCGGGGAGGGGTGACAGCAGTTTGTGTGACACGGGGAAAACGCTGCAGCCCTTGTTCCGTCTGGCCCCCGGTGATTAAACTCAGCTGCTCTGCCGCGGTTTGCAACAATCCCGCTCCGAAATGAAGGTCAGAGCTAATTAAAAACTCATCTGCAGCTGAGAGAGGGTGGGTGGGAAGAGCTGTGTCCCTGTAGTCCCTCTGTGACCTCCTCCAGGGCCACCCACACGCTGGAGGTGGGAGAACAGCTTGTCCTGCCCTCCTCCTCCTCCTCCTCCTCCTCAGCTTGCTCTGGGAACGGGTTTGCACAAAACCCCTCAGGAAAGCAGAAAATGGTGCAGGGAGACAGAAGGGGCAATTCCAAGTGGGATTAGAGAGTGCCCGGAGGTGGGAGATGGAGCCACGGGTCTGGTTGAGGTCTCTGGGTCAGAAAGGCTGGGGAGGGTTTATGAGGCAGGAGATGGAGTTTTGGGACCTTCCACTGGGATCTCGCAGGGTTTGCACCCCCAGCTGGGCCACGGGGAGTGTCTCCTGGTGGCCAGGAGGAGCAGGATAGAAGGTTGTCCAGCGTGGCTTATCCCTAACTTCCCATTCCACGTGGTCTGCACAAGGTGTCTGAGCTCTGTCCTGCACCTGCAGGGGATTCCTGCACTTTAAATCCTAAGGAATGGAGCTGGAGCAGGGGCAGGGAGAGACGGAGGGATGGAAAGTTCTGGTGCCGCTTCCCAGGAATTAAGGAAGAGGAATTTAAGGGGATTTCCCTCCCTTTGTGTCTCATCAGGAGCAGAAATTGAGAAGCTCAAGTGACCAAAGCCAAACACGCCTGGAAGTGTCCAAGGCCAGGCTGGAGCAACCTGGGATAGTGGGAATGTCCCTGCCCATGGCATGGGGGTGGGACTGGATGGGCTTTAAGGTCTCTTCCTGCCCAAGCCATTCCACGATTCCATGAGCCTCATATTTCCTTCCTCCCCTTGCTCTTTTCTCTCCTGGACAACGACCAAAGTGGACAAAACCCTCCAGGCAGGTGAAGCCCTCAGTGACACCCTCAAAACCTTCCCCAAGCCCAGGATTTTGCAAGGCTAAAGCAAAGCTTGGCCCTCCCCAGAACTGGAGGCTGTAAATCTGCCAATGCTGCCCAAGCAGAGAGAAACCCCAAATCTCCTCAGAGCTTTTCTGCACTACCAGGGGAAAAAAAAAAAAAAAGAGCTGAAAAAGCAATGTTCTGGTTTGCAAGGGCTGGAACACCACGTGCAGGTCTGCAAATGCATCTGAAAGGCCGTTTTTCCCTCCTTGGAAAATCATCCTTTGAAGCTGTTCTCGAAGAGAAAACTCATTGTAGCAACAAAAAAAACCCCTCCCAGGCTGCTGGAGCAGATCCTTCTGCTGCCTAAAAAAACCTAAAAACTCCTCCCAGCCCGGCTTTTACAGGCAGAAATGAATGAAACTGTTGTGAACACGTGTGGGACTGGACTCTCTGTGTCAAGCCCAGGTGGTTGAAGGGTTCAATAAATGCTGATTTCAAACCATGACGGGCTTTCTCCAGCCTTGCTGCTGGGGGGGTTTTACTGGGCAGGGCAGTGAGAGAAGTTAATGAGGTTGGGGACCAACTCCAGCCCCAGGTTTTGCTGTTCCAGCTGTAAAAACTCCGGGAGATTATTCAAATGCAATAAAAAAAGGTGTTTGCATCACTAAAAAGGGAGGGGAATATGTCAAAGCACCACATGGCCAGTGCTGGTGCCCTTTGAGAGAGATATATATATATTTATATATAGATAGATTTATATTTATATATTTTTATTTTATATATTTTATATATTTACATACATTTATGTATTTGTATTTATATATGTTATATTTTTATATATTTATATTTTTATATATAATATATTTATATTTTTATATTTTGTATTTTAATATATTATATATTTTATATGTAGTATATGTTTTTATATTTTATATATTTTTATATTTTATATAATTTTTTATATATGTATATTTATATATATATAGACACTGTGGTCACCTCCAACCTAAACATCTCAGAGGTACCAGTGTGACAATCTCTCCTGTCTCTCTCCTGATGCTGTTCAACCCTGAAAAGTGGCCATGATTAATAAATGGCCATAATTATAAATAAGTGGCCATAATTAATAAATTAGTTATTAATTCCCAATTTTTCCAGCCATTCCTTTGATTTATTTTCACATGGGACGTAAATCGCCGCCGTAAACTCTCAAAAAAAAAAAACAAACCGAAACACACCAAAAACACAACCATGGAAGCAGAGTTTGCAAAAATCTGGATCCCAGGGCAACGAACACCCAAGAGTAACTGTGAGTTTGGCCAAAAAAAACACGGCCCTGGCCCAAAATGAGCTCAGGGAGATGACGTGGGGAGTTCGGATCCACTCCCGGTCCACTGCAGCTCAGTCAGCTTTGGGGGCTATTTTTAAACGTGGGCTTTCTAATTTTTCATTTAGCTTTGGTCTCAAGGAAAAGTCCATATGACTCATCCATCACACTCATCCCTCCGGGCTCGTGGCAGGGACTGGGAAACGGGGATGAGAAGAAATTTTGTCCTCGTTAAAAATCCATCGGATTCCCAAACAAGAGGAACTCGTGCTTTGCTTCTTACTCACACTTGACAACAACGTTTCTCTTTCTGGAATTAGAACATGTTCTAATTTTGCTCCAGGTTCTGTGGATAGAAAAGAATCTGGAGCTGATTTTTCTTTTTTTTTTTTTTTTTTTTTTTTTTCCCTGCTCTATTAATTCCCAGGATTTCCAGCTGTGCCTGACATTTTGCATTGCAGCGACAACGACCTTTGGCTTTTCTGTGCCAGTCCCTCCTTCCAAAATCCTCCCAATCCTGGGCTTTCTGGAGGCAAATGAACTTTCTGAACAGGGTGAAAACATCCTGGGATTCGTTTTGACTCAAGCAAGTGCCCCTGCTGAGAGCAAGCAAACACCAAACTGATCTGTTTATCACAGGAATTGTTGTCTGGCACGGAGAGAGATGGCCCATCAAATATTTACAGGCCTTTGGAGAGGAATTTTGAGCTGTTCAAGGTGGAAGATTCGCTCCAGGCTTTAGGCTGGAGGCAGGAAAACTCAGCTTTCTTGGATTCAGGGCCAGTTTGGGGAAGAAGCTTTGAAATATGGACACTTTGAGCCGAACTGGGAGAGGGATCAGCTGGTGGAGCAGCACAGACCAACCCCACCGAGCTGCTGGTGGGACCACAAGGCTGGGATTTCCATGGAAACCTGGGAATTGTGCTGGTGCCAGGCTTGGATGCTGTGGGAGAGCTCCCAGCACATCCCAGTGACCCCAGCACTGGGGCAGGGATGGGTGGCTGGGATTCCTGGGCTGGGGAAGCTCCTCTTCCTCTCCCAAAAAACCAGCTCAAGGCAAAGCAACCCCCTCCAAAAGGCTGAGTTTAGGGAGATGGAGCCAAAGGAGCCCTGTGGATCCTTAGCTTGGGAAAATTGGGATTTATGGGCAGGGAGGAGGAGGAGGAGGTGAGAAAATTCCCTGTTTATTTGCAGTGGTTCATAAACACTTGGAGGAAAAGTTTCCCCCTTTCACCTCTGCAGAGCAAGTGGGTGAATGGGCAGTTGGGGGGATGTTCCCACCACTGGGAAGGATCCCAAGCTTTTCCTTGGATTTACTCACTCCACAACCACACCCCGTGGCCACAGTTTGTACTGGGAGTACTGGGGTCACTCCCTGGATAACGCTCCAGGCAGGAGAAAAAGGGGGGATATCTGGGATCCTCCTGCAAGCTGGGAGGATCCCAGGGGCAGGAGCACAAGGATCCTTCCTCACAGACCACAATCCCACCAAGAGACCTTCCCACCCCACTCCTCTTCCTCCTCAGCCACCCCTTCAAGCCCTGAAGCACCTGAGGGTCCGAGTTATGGAGAGGGACAAAGGGACCAGGATGGACCATTTCAGCCAGGAAAACACGGAGAACAGCACATGGAAAAGGGGCTTTCCAGCTGCCTGGGGTTCAGAGCATGGCCTGAGCTGTGTCTCAGGGGTGGTGGGAGCCCTGAGGGCCGTGGCCAGGCAGGGCTGAGAGAGACACCCTCAAAGCCCCCTGAGGGACCTTGGAAACAACTCCCCCCAGCCAGGACCCACAAAACCCCCCCAAATCCCCTCAGGGACCCTACAAACCCACCTGGGGCCCCCCAACCCCCCTCAAAACTGACCCAGGAGCCCCTAAATCCCTTCAGGGACCCTACAAAGCCACCTGGGACCTCTCCAAGTCCCTCTCAGGGACCTACAAACCTGACCCAGGACGCCCTAAATCCCCTCAGGGACCCTCAAAACTCCTTCAGAGATCTCCCAAATCCACCCCAAAACCCCTAGGACCCTCTAACCAGCAATGCCTGCCCAGTCCCTCTCAGTGCCCCCTACTCACTTCCCAGTCCCTTCCAGTGCCTCCCAGTCTATCCTTAGTGCCCTGCAATCCACTCCCAGTCAATCCCAATCCTCCCCAGTCCCCTCCCAGTCCCTCCAAGTGCCCCCCAGTCCATCCCAATCCCCCCCAATCCGTTCCCAGTCCCTCCCAGTGCCTCCCAGTCTACCATCAGTGCTCCGGAATCCACTCCCAGTCCATCCCAATCCTCCCCAGTCCCCTCCCACTCCCTTCCAATGCCCTCTAGTCCATCCCAATCCTCCCCAATCCATTCCAGTCCCTCCCAGTCTACCCCCAGTGGCCCCCACTCCCCTCCCAGCCCCTCCCAGTGCCCTCCCAGTGCCCTGCAGGTTCGATTCCCTGTGCATGCCCACATTCCACCCCCATCGCTGGCGGGAATTCGGGATGGCCTCGGAACCCAAACCCCGTGAGGGGTCTGGAGGGGGCTCCTGGGGGAGTGTGGGTTCCAGAGCACGACCTGTGGGGCTGGGCCATGGTTTAGGGTCTCACCAATGCAGCGGGATCCATCGGGGCTGGTCATGAAGCCCCGGGGGCAGGTGCACACGTAGCTGCCCGCGGTGTTGGTGCACTCGCCGCCGTCGCACGCGCCCGAGATGGCCCCGCACTCGTCCACGTCTGCAAGAGAACACACCCAGGGCGGGGTTTGCCTTTGGAGAGTCTCCTGTCCCTCCTGGATCCGGCTCAAAGAGGGGCAGGAGTGGGGTTAGGGGTGGTCGTGGGATGCTCCAGGTCATCACTTGTCTGCTGCGGGCAACAAGACGCTCCCACACTGAGGGGTTCATGGACATTCTCCCACACCGAGGGCTTCATGGAGACTCTCCCACACTGAGGGGTTCATGGAGACTCTCCCACACTGAGGGGTTCATGGAGTCTCTCCCACACCGAGGGGTTCATGGACATTCTCCCACACTGAGGGGTTCATGGACATTCTCCCACACTGAGGGGTTCATGGAGACTCTCCCACATCAAGGGGTTCATGGAGACTCTCCCACACTGAGGGGTTCATGGAGTCTCTCCCACACTGAGGGGTT